TGGAGGAAGAATCCAAGAAGACTCCCAAATATTTTACCTTTATCCCTATATAACCTGGGCTATATGAGCCTTTGCAAGCTGACGTCTCGTGAGCCAACTTGTCATTTGGCGATGCAGCATACCTCAGAACCCTTGTTTCTCCGGTAAGAATCTCCATACCCTAAAGCCTACACCCCACATCGTGCTGCAGGACTTTCATTGGCACATGCGCATCTACTAGCGATTATGCCAGACGAAGGATGCCGGCCAACTGGAATGTCAGCAAACCCCTAGACCCTAAACCACATCGGGTTTACAGTTTAACTGCGCTGTTAAAGGACTTAAGTTAGGGTTACTGCAGCAACCTAAACCCTAAACCCAGTTCATTTCCAAGGCAGCTGCAAGTAAAGCTAGCTCCCTCCCCTTCTGATCTCAAGCCATGCGGAAGCCTGCACGATGTTTGAGATGATGCAAGTCACCTCAGTCTTATCATTGAAGCCGTTGGCAATGGGGGAAAACCCTAAACCCTATACCCTGAACCCTAAACTCTAAACGTTTTTTTCGCGCTCATGCAGAGTATTACGTAGGGACTGCCAGGGGATGCTCCCCCTTCCCAGCTAACCCAGCTACTTGCTGGGGGTTAGCAGGGAACAAGGGAACATACTATATTGGGGTAATATAGGGGCATATGGGGGGTATATTGGGGTTATATAGGGGTATATTGAGGGTTATATAGAGGGTTATATAGTGTATAGGGATTCTATAGGGTTCATATTCACTTATTCCCTCAAAAGATTATCATGCAAACACACTTACGGCTGTCTTGTTCGTCAAAAGACATTGTGTTGGTCACGGGCATTGCCATCAACTACGTCGTACTTGTTGCATTATGCCCACCGTTGTCATGTCCTAAACCTAAACCCCGAAACCTAAGTATTACTACTAGCACTACTCAGCTAAGCCCGGAGCCAAGCCGAACGTGGTCATCAGCAGGTAGAAGGCAAAAAAGATCGCCTCTGCTGTTTTAGGGTTTGGGGTTGGACTGACTGGGAATCAGTAAACACGGCATGTCTCAAGATTCACATTTGAGAGCCCCAACAAACAGTTTATAATGCGACGAAAAAAACAAACACACACACACACACAGTGTTGACTTCATGTTATTAAGTTTCGCAAGAAGCCGCGCACTCCCATCCACACGACACTCACACCGCACACAGTCTCCGGAACAAAAAGCCAACCTCCCTCATTTGGGGAAATCCTTTCACACACAAAATCACAAACAAGATATCCGCTGGGGCCAGCTGGTGACGGCTGGAAAATGTGGGACTTGCCATTCTTGCAACATAATCTGGATCATGATGGGTTGGGCTTGCGCGCCAGGCAGCCAGTCCAGGATACTTCAGAACTATTGGTCGTCCAACGTGGTTTGCCCACTGCGCATTCGTGACCACTTGGAACATTGTCAAGAAACCTCAAGGCATGAGCTTGTAAGCAGTGGCCACAAAATTTCTCAACAGATTGAACAAAGGCTTGAAAATTAGAGCAGGTCATCTAATCCCGATAATCCATCTTCTCCATGTAATGCCGTTACCTAATGGAGGGAATCGTCATTATAAGAGAGCTGGGGGCTGTGTTACTATTGAGGGGCAGGGGTTACTGGTTTCGTGCTACTAGGGGTCTGCCTACTGCGCGAACCCTTTTCCAAAGTTTGTGTGGAACACCTCGCCCTGCCTCAACTACAGTCATGCGATGATTTCAAGATGCCCGGCCCACCTGATCTAGAGTGATGCTATATCGTGTGGTGTGTTAGTAGGGCATTGGGGGGGGGGGGGGGGNNCATCTTCAGGGCGAGAGGGCTGCTAAAAATAACTCCAAAAGTTGTTACCCGTGTCAAGGACTTCAAGAGGAGCGCAGACAGAGAAAACAAACACCTACAAACACAGCCCGTGCTGCCCAGAGAAATCCAGCAGCTCAAGCCCAGTTTCAGATTCGTCTTCCATGTTCTTTCCCATTTGAT